TTTCTTTCTTTCTTTCTTTCTTTCTTTCTTTCTTTCTTTCTTTCTTTCTTTCTTTCTTTCTTTCTTTCTTTCTTTCTTTCTTTCTTTCTTTCTTTCTTTCTTTCTTTCTTTCTTTCTTTCTTTCTTTCTTTCTTTCTTGGCAATGGGGTTAAGTGACTTGCCCAGGGTCACACAGCTAGTAAGTGTTATGTGTCTGAGGCTGGATTTGAACTCAGGTCCTCCTGAATCCAAAGCCAGTGCTCTATCCACTGTGCCACCTAGCTTCCCCCTCCTTCCAAGTCTTGATCTATGGTTTTATTTTCCTAAGTACAAGATCTGGGTCAGATATGTCCAAAGTAAAGCACTTCCAACTCAAGCTACTTATCTGGAGAATGAAGAACAGTGGATTTATCTTTTAAAAAATTAATCTGAGTTTCTAGGCATCTAACTATGGAGAAAGAGCAGGGACTAGAAAGACACAAAGATAATCATGACCAGACAGAGAAGTCCATGAACGTGTGTTTATTGTTGTAGATAGTCAGTGACCACAAGAGAGTAGACAGTGGAACTGAGGCCAAACAGGTACAAGGAACACAGTCAATGAAGGTTTCTGGAGAATAAGATCTACAAAAAACATCTCAGGAAGGTGAAAGGCAAATGATGAGGGAGGACAGCTGCAGGCTTGGGTAGGGTCATTGGCTTTTGGTTCCACGTAACTTCTTCTTGGTGTAAAGAAAGCCAGGTGATCAGCAGCAGCCCCCAGAGCTGCCACAGCAGCCCCCAGACTGTTGGCCGTGCCCACTGCCACTGTCACAGCAGTCAGACCTCTGGTGCCTGCGTCTGTGGGATCTCCTGTGATGGGAAAAGAGGCAGCAGCCACCCCCGGAGCCAGAGCTGCAGCACCCCCCAGAGCTGGACCCACAGCATCCCCCAGAGCTGCAGCATCCTCCAGAGCTAGAGCCACAGCAGGAAGAGACTGGAGGAGGGCAGGGAGCCTGGGGAGGGCACTTGGGGGGACACTTTGGTGGGCATTTGGGTGGGCATTTAGGGGTCTGACACTTGGGAGGACACTTAGGGGGGCATTTAGGGGCTTGGCACTGCTGCTGGCTTTGCTGGCAGGACATCTTGATGGGAGTTCAACCTGAAAGACAATACAGGAAAAAGAAATCAAACCTAGACCAAAGTTCTGCTTCCATTTAGGATTAGTACCCCAAGTCATAGCAAACTAAGGTCAAGAACTCATTCATATACAGAAGGAAAAAAACACCAAGGAAATTTTTCTTCCTGTAAAGTTTGTTTGAGTAGTAATGTGGACCAGAAAAAGAGCATCTGGGTAGATAAACTAGGCCTCCTTCAGTGTATAGCACCCAGGGAAAACAGCAATTTCCTGATTCCTTCTCTTATAATATCCATGTGACCAACCCCTACCTGCAAGAGCCTCCTGGTACTCTTGACATTTGCCCTTCTCTCTCATGTTACTGCTACTTGACTCTCTTTCAACCCTTTTCTCAGTTTTGAATCAGCAATGTTTTTATCAGCTAGAGGATGAACTTCTACAAACATGTACAAAGAAAGCATAGTGAGGGAGAGAAGGCTAAACTGTTGTTAGAATCAAGAGAGTTCAGAGCCAAGGCTTTGCTAGCTCGACCTCCCATCACTTTCATTCAAGTCAAACGCATTCCATCAAAAGTGCTGATGTCTAGCTGGACCACACTGTGTTCTTCATGATGAAAGGGACCCAACCAGATGACAAATGTATCAGCTGTCTTGCTTTCTAGAAGCTCCCACATGTGGGACTCACAATAACCTGGATCTCAAGCCTCCCAAACTCAAAGAACACTCTTGGAGAGTTCTTGGTTCCATTTCCCTGACCCCACCTGGCTGCTTGGTTCCATCATGAGAATGGACTTGTCTTCCAGTCAATGAGTCTGCAGTCTAGACCGACCTTTTATAAGATTCTCTTCCCACACTCCCTCGTGGGACACCTCCATCAATGGTTTTTTCAGTGGCTAGTCCCCTTACCCAGAATGATTACCCAAGTCTATCTACAACATGCACTTGAGTTATCTTAGCCAATAACCATCACCCCAAATCTACTAGAAATATTTTCCTTATGACTAATTAAGCTATTTCAAATGTAAACTAAGATTTAATGTTTTATCAGCCTAGAACTTAGTCTTCCTGGTAATACCAGTGGAAAAATTGGGTAAATTTTAAACATGTGTATGTATGCATATTCCAGGAGTGGTGCAGAGAACAACCTCTTCACAACTCCATGGGCAAATCCTTAGGCATCCAGATGATTGGTAGAGTTTCCTGGAACTCAGACTACCACTTACTGCCCCCTCCCATTCCCCCCTCCCGGACACAAGCCATTTTGTGGCTTTCTGGAGAGACCTAAACTGGTTCTTATTTAGTCTAAAACAAATCCAAACAATGAGCCTCTGTTTCTCACAAACTTCCCTTCTCACCCTGATTGACTCTGTCTTATTATTCTTGATCATTCTACCACAATCTAGCTTCATCCTTCTTTCTTCATCTTCCTTACCTATTTCCCTCTCTCCACCTCCTTTTTTGATTCTCAGACTTTTCCTGAAACTCTGTTCAAAGTGCATCCCTTGGACCCAGGAACACTTACCTTGATTGCAGACACCAGGAGACTAGTTCCTGAGAAGGCTGATTGTGTGAGGAGCCAGTGCCAAGGATGCCTTTTATAGAGCCTCCTCAGGCTCTGCTACTGCCATGAAATATGGCCATAGTGGTAGGAGAAGGTTATTTCATAACCTGAGGCATGTGCTTGGTAAGTCCCGTGTGCCAGACAATTCTTGACATTCTTCAGCTTCATTTTACCATTCCTTCCAGGCATCAATCATTCAATCAATCATTGGGCATTTATTAAGTGGGTGCTAAGTTACAATGACAAAGAAGAAACAATTTTTGACCATAAAGAAGAGGCAAAATGTATAAATGCAAATATACACAAAATAAGCACATAAATAATAGAACTTTTGGGAGAAAGACACTAGAAACTGGGAAGCTCAATAAAGAATTTATGTAGAAGATTGTGAGAGGTGAGCTGTGAAGGAAACTAGAGATTCTAAGATGCAGAGGTGAGCAGAAAATACATTCCAGGTACGGGGGATTGTGTAAAGGCATGGACGTGGGAAATGGAGTCTACCACATGAAACACATTAGGAAGGCCAGTTTGGTTTCATAACAGAATACTCAAAGGGGCACAGTATATAGTAATCCTGGAAAGATAAGTTGGAAGAAGATTTTGAAAGCTCTTCAATGACAAACAAAAGAATTTAATTAAAATTAATAGACTCTAGAGATAGTAGGGAGCCACTGGATTCTTGAATAGGAGAGCAACAGGGTTGGATCTATCCTTAAATTTACTTCAGCAAGCTTTTGGAAGGTGAGGTAGAGACCACAATTAAAAGGTTAGTGTCATGTTCCAAGTGACAGGTTATGAAAGTCTGGCCTTGAGTGGTGGCTGTCTGAGTAGAAAGGAGATATTCAAGAGTTGATGTTGAATAGAAATGACAATACTTGGTAATTGATTGGATGTACAAAATACAGCAGAATGAGGGGCTTGTGGTAAGATTCTGTCATTGGAAGGATGGCGGTACACTTGATAGAAACAAGGTATTTGGAAGACGAGTGCGTTTGGTGAGAAAAAAAGTTCTTTTATAGCCATGTTAATTTTGAAATGTTTATAGGACATTTAGTTCGAAGTGTCCAATAGGATAGTTGGTGATGTGTTCTTGGCACTCAGGAGAGACATTAAAGCTGGATGTAATGGAATGGAAAAACACATGAAAGTGCTTACTACATACATGCCAAGCACTGTGCTAAGTACTAGGAATACACATAGGAAAGAGAGACCGTCTTTCTAATTGGGAGAGACAACACATACAGGAGAGTCCAGCTACAGAGTGAATGGCCCTTAGGGCTCAGTGGAAGGGCAAATGATAAGGCCTAATGGTCTTCTATCATCTGGAAGGATTTTTAGCTGGTGACTGCTTACTCACTGAAGTGGTATTACTGGACTATGTCCATCCACCAGCTTGGGACTGAAAGAGGCCCAGGTCCATGATCATTGAGAATGAGAGATCTTGGTGGTATCTGAATAGGAGGAAGGCTGGTCCCATTCCAGCTCTGGTTAACTCCACCTGTTGGCAAGTAATGGGGTCAGCCTGGGACAGTTGGGGGAACTGTATTGGCCTACGCTGCATAGAAGTGATGACTGAATGCTTCAGAACTTATAAAATTACACAGAGAGAGTATGAATAGAGGGAGTAGAGAATCAAGCCCCAGGACAAAGACACCCATGGTTAGGGAAAGGGATACAATAACAATCTAGCAAAGGAATTTAAGGGAGAGTGGCCGAATAGGTGGGAGAAGAACCAAGAGAAAGCAGTGTCATGAAAACCAAGAGATGAGAACATATCCAGGAGGAGAGGTTGGTCAACAGAGTCAGATGTTATAGAGAGGTCCAAAAGGGTGAGAAGTGAGAAAAGGCCATCAGATCTGGCAACTGAGATCATTGGTAACTTTGGAGAGAGCAGTTTCATTTGAGTGAAGGTCAGAAGCCTAATTGCAAAGGATCACCAACAACCCAGCTTGAAGATGGAGGGATCTCAGAGTCCAATACCATTATTTTATAGGTGAAGAAACTGAAGCCCAGAAAGATACAATGATTTGCCCATGTATAGGAGGAACCAATGTAGCAGAACCAGGTTTTTAACCCCAGTCTTGTGATTCCAAATCTATTACTCAATGCACTGTATCACACTCTCTTGAGAAGTGGGAGGAAAAGTAGTAGGAACAATGAGTATAAATACCTTTTCTTTTTTTTTCTTTGCTAATAAAAGGGAGGAGAGATGTAGGCTGATAGCTTGAGGGAATGGTTAGACCTAGTGAGTATTTTTTTAAAGAGGGGAAAAAGACATGTATTTATAGGTGCTAGAGAAGGAATCAGTAGATAGGGAAAATTTGATGACTAAAGAGATAAAGCATACGATAGTTGTAAGAAACTGTCTGCCGGAAGAGTTAGCTTGGCGATGCAGTGCATATAGCTCTGGGCCTCAAGTCAGGAAGACCTGAGTTCATTTCCGGCCTCAGACACTTCCTAGCTGTGTGACCCATGGCAAATCACCTAACCTCTGTTTGCCTCAGTTTCCTCAACTGTAAAATGGGCATCATAATGGCACCTATTTCTATTTGTGAAGTATTTAGGGCGAAGCCTGGCACAGAATAGGTGCTTAAAAATGCTTACTCTCTCCTCTGTAGAGGAGGTAAGGGAGTAGCTAGGTAATGCAGTAGATAGAATGCCAGGTCTGGAGTCAGGAAGACCTGAGTTCAAATATGATCTTGACATTTATTAGCTTAAATGTCAATGATGTCGACAATGATGTAACTGATGTAGCTGCTGATGCAGACATTGAACACGCAGATGGTGAGGATGAGAAGGACCACAACTAAATACTCAGGAGAGTTTGTAACCATCTCATGTGACCAACACATGGTTCATGCATCAGCTTTTCCAGCCACATTTACGCCACCACCCAAGGACCCAAAGAGGATGGGTGTAGACGATGTGGTGTAGGGAGTGTCTCGATGTATCCTGGATGATTTCCTAACTTGTAATGTAGGGACAATAGTTCAGTCCAGAAGTATGTTTACAACAGCGGATACAGTCTCCCTGCAGAGTTCGACTTTGTGAGTCAATCAATCAGCAGAAATTTACTGAGCATCTATTTGAGACTGTCGAGTCCTCAGGGTCAGGAACATGGGACAGGAGATTGGTAGCAGAGGAGGGCAGGATATACAGATGAGTAAGATTTGGTTCCTACTCCTGTGATGCTTATGGTATACTAAGGGAAACGGAATGTTATACAAGAGAACATAACTGTACAAGGCAGCAATAAAATGAATGATTGGCAAATGAGGGGCATAAGTGATGAGCTGGGAGTTCCTACCATGATAATGATAATAATAACATCAACATATCGCACTTAAAAGTTTGGGGAGGTTTCCTGGAGGAGTTAAGTCTTGAACTAAGCTTTTGTAATATACTCTTTTCTTCTTATCTTTTCATTCTTCCATCCTGGAACTTGGAGATACAGCTGCCTCCCTCCTGTGTAATGCATATCATATCCCCTTTGGCTCCCTGTCACACGTCTGCTTGGGCCCATTTCACATATGCAAGGCACCTCTATCTTTGAAGTACTAAACAAAAACCTGTAATTCTTTTGCTTGCCTAAACCTTTTCTTTAAGAAACTGCTGGGGAAGATAAAAACCTCCCCCAGAAATTATTGTACAAACATCCTCCTACCTCTTTCCAAGAAATGATTTCCAGTATAACAAAAAGAGTTCCATCGTTTTTGGTTTCTTTTGGAGGGTGAGAGTTTGCAAGGGCAGGACTGGGGTGGGGGACAAGTATTGTAATTTCATCAGATTTAGAGACATCTCAGATTGATGATGATGATGATGATGATGATGGTGATGATGATAGTAAACATTAATATAGTGCTTTACAGTTTACAAAGCATGTTACATATATGACCACGTTTGAACTTCACAGTAACCTGAGAAGTAGGGACTATTGTTATCTCCATTTTACACATGAAGAAACTGAAACAGATCTCAAGGGACTGGCTCAGGGTCACATAGCTAGCAAGTGTCTTAGGCAAGATTGGAACTCAGGGAAAACAATTGTAGCATTTTGTCCACTACATCACTTAAAACACTCACCACCCTACTGATGGAAAACTATCTGAGTCAGAGACTCCTTCAGTGACAAGTGAGCAGGGGTGTGTTTCAAGCTCCCAGGCAAATGTGTACGATGCCTTTAGTGGCCAGGACAAGAGAAACACTTCAGAGGAGGACAGACTTTTTTTTTTTTTCTGAAGTTGTGTTTGGACAATATGCAAGGACTGTTTCTCAGGCGAAAACAAGAATATTCTGGAGTTTTCATGAAGGCATACAGGGACAGACATGTCAGAAAAGTATTTCCTCTGTCAAAAGGCCACTGATTCCAAAGTCACCTCTAGAGAGCTTCAGGAAGAGGTACCCACAGAGAGTGATAACAGGTGGCAGCATCTGTTGAGCTGATGTAGGGATTTAATGTCTAAATTAGATACTGATTAATTATTTAGGGGGACTATTTTTTAATCAAAAAGCTGGATATTGCTGATAATATTGGAAGGGTTCTTCACCTGGGATCTGTGAATTAAAAAAATATATTCTGATAACTCTATTTCAATATCATTAATTTCTTTTGTAATCCTGTATGTTTTTATTTTATATATATATATATTTCACATTTTTATACATTTATTTTATACAATTTATACATTTTATATAATTTATACATTTTATACAATTTTATACACTTAAAAACATTATCTTAAGAAGTCCTAAGCTTCACCAGACTGATTGTCCAAGGGATCTGTGATACCAAAAGGTTTAAGAACCCCTAAAGTGGAAGGAATAAAAGCAAATGTTCAGTCAATTCATTGACGTATTATGTGACAAGAGCTATGTATCTCTCTGGGAAGGGAAGGGAATAAGCATTTACATAGCACCTACTGTGTGCTAGCTCCGTGCTGAGTGCTTTAAAAAAAATAGTAACACATTTCATCCTCACAACAATCTTAAGAAGTAGGTGCTCTTATTATTTCTATTTTATAGATGAGGGGACTGAGGCAGACAGAAGGAAGTGACTTGCCCAGGATCACACAGCTAGTGTCTGAAGTCACATTTGAACTCGGGTATTCCTGATTCC